TTTCTTAGTTTATAGCTGAGATCTTATTACTGTTTTTCTTTTACATTTGATTGTTTTATCACTCGGTGGTCTCCAGTGTCTTCTACACTGTGGTATACTGGGGCAGCAGGGTGAAGAAAGCTGATGTCAACAGACTCGATAAACTCATCAAGTGAGCTGGCTCAGTTATGGGAGTGGAACTGCAGTCTCTGACAGAGGTGTCTGAACAGAGGATGCTGAGGAAACTGCTCCAGATCCTGAACAACACGTCACATCCCCTGCATGCCACACTGGACTCTTACCGCAGCACCTTCAGTCATAGACCGAGACCACCGAGGTGCTCCACAGAACACCACAGGAAGTCCTTCCTCCCTGTGGCTATCAAGCTTTTCAATTCCTCCCTCTTTCTACACATAGGACAATAAAATTAATCCTGCACCACAATAAACTAGTGTTTCTGTCTGTACCTGACCTGTTTTAGACCTTAATTGTTGGTATTTTATATTATCTGTTATTTTTTATATTCTCTGATTTTTTTTTAAATCTTGTGTGATTCCTTGTGCATGTTTCTTTATATCGAAACTCTGGCACAACTTCCTGCGGGATCAGTAAAGTTCTATTTTATCTTATCTTATTGTACACACACAATCACACAATACCTTGTAAAATAAGACTGTACTATGTTGGTGAAAATGTACTGCTCTTTATCTATCCTCAGTTTTCTGTTCCAGTCCCCTCTGTCTTCTCCAAATGGATTTAAGCAGAACATCTCCACAACACTGCAGGTTTTGCTGCAGCTCTTCCTGCGTTGGAGCTCACGTCATGTGTCAGTGGTCATATTAATGCGTTAAATCAGCCAAATGTGTCCATGATGCCTCAAATAAAATTCTATTGGGGCTGGCTGTTCGGGTCACCGGACATATTCTGATCCAATTGATAAACAGGGGTCACTGACTGAACAGTAGCACCCCATAACAGTAAATAAGTAAAAAACTAAGAATGAATCACTAAAAATCATTTTAAATTCCATTAAAAATAATTAAAAAATACAAACAACAAATTCACACAACAAATTCAGTAAATAAGTCATTTCCATTATTTATTAGGAGGAACTACTTTAAGGGGCGAATTATTTTTTTAGGTGGGGCGCAATGGACCAACCGCCACTGAATAAGATTTAATGACTCATCTGCAGATTAGTTTTATGGTACGCTGGTATAGTATTCCAGGTCCTCTGGATGGTTTCTTTGTGTTGAAACGTTTCATCTTTCACCCAAAGGACTTCATCAGTCTGAGGCGCCACAAACTCAGTCTTTTAAGTTATCACACTCGCATAGTGGGCCAACCATTTTGATGGTGATAAACTGGTTTCTAGAGTCCGCTCTCTCCCCCACCGACTCATCTGAGGCAACCATGGCCAAAGTGGTTCAAAACATCAAAGTTGATGTTATATAATCCAGTTAAAAATCCAACAAAGCTGCTTCATATGAGTCTGCAGAGGAGAGAGCAGACTCTAGAAACCAGTTTGTCACCATTAAACTGGTTGGCCCACTATGTGAGTGTGCTACTTAAAAGACTGAGTTTGTTGTGGCTCCTTGGACTGAAGAAGTCTCTTGGATGAGATGAAACGTTTCAACACACACACACAAAACGTCCAGAGGACCCGATTTAACTTTGTTGGATTTATTACCTGGATTACCGAGCATGAACTTTGATGTTCTAATATAGTACTGTTTTTTGAATATAAAACACAAATATTTGCTTTTTATAGGTAGACTTCGGTGCAGTTCAATAAACATTTAACTTAATGTACACTGCTGGGAAACGTGCTGTTAGTTTGTGTTGCTCGTTTCTTGTGTAAACGTAGATATTTCTCATTCGTGCCGCCATGCTCCGACGGTTAGTGAAGAAAGTCGAACGTATGAAGCTTCATTGACTGGTACCAAGATCTATATAGAAGTTTCGGCTAGTAGCTGGATATTTACCGTCACCGGAGTCCTCTGTGGATGGAGGGTTGTTGTTCTCACATGGTCTGTCGTCATTATGCGAGCAGTTTTTCTCAGCACCGTCCTCTCCGATCACTGCGGCAGCAGATTCGTCCATCTTCTTGGCGTGGTTGTTCGCTAGCAGTGTTAGCTTTACTTTCGCAATTACGCGTTAGCCAAAAAAAAAAAACCTCCACCGTTGTTTTCATCTACGTTTACAAGCTACGGTATAGTCCAATCAGGCGGAGGGAAGACGAGATATAAAAACATGAGCGGTGATGATGATGCAGTTTAAAAAAACGCAACTCGCGAAATGTTACGAGTGCTGATGAACACAACAATTAGCTCTCACGCATGCGCAGTACTTCTCACATTATGGCGGAAGACGTTTTCTTCTGCTGCGTTATTTCAGTTCACTGACGCAATACTGCCTCGTGCGGTAAAGGAGAGATAAATAGAAGAAAATTATATCTGTCGTTCATTCAGCTGAAGTTTTAGTTTCTTAAATTTATTTTCTTGTCATGAACACTGTGACTTATTTCAGACTGAGGCACAAACTGCAGCTGTTAATTTTCATGTGAAAAGTACAATTTCCCAAAATAAGGTATATATGCTTCTTTCAAAGGTTCATCTCGTTTTTATGAACGTACATTTACAATGTCTGCTGAAAATATTTCCTGTGGGCTTTAAAAAAAAAAAATATATATATATATATATATATATACACAAACACACACACACACACATTTTGACGTCTAAATTATAATATTAAAATTTACTGCATTAGTTGCACTAACATACTCTTTGTATACATGAAGTAAAATAAAATAAAATTAAAACATGTTTTAAATTGCATTATTCTGTGTTTGGGCAGCTGTGGCTGAGTGGTTAGAGCAGTTGTCCTCCAATGCAAGAGTTGGGGATCCGATTCCAGCAGCAGTCACATGCCGAAGTGTCCCTGGGCAAGACTGAACCCCTCATTGTCTCAGATATATGTCCCATCGGTGTATGAATGTGATAAAGCACAGATTAGTCTCTTTAGAATGATTTGTTCAATTAGCTTTGTATAGATCTAGTACAATTCAATTCAAAAATACTTTATTAATCCCAGAGGGAAATTATATGTTGTAACTCATTATCCTCATTTCATTAAAAGAGATGTTATAGATATTGACTGTAGGCAGGAATGATCTCTTGTAAAGGTCCATCCCACAGTGGATCCTAAGAAACTGGCTGCAGATGCCGTCCGATCCGTCCACTCGGACTCAGCTAGCCTCTCAGTTCCCCCAGGCTGTAGGACCGCCTGAATACTGGGCAGAACTCCTCCCAGAGCGATGGCCACTCCTCCCAGCAGACTGCCGAGCTCCTTGTAGCTGCGGACAGCCAGCTGTAGGTGCCGAGAGACGATCCAGTCCTTCTGCTGTCATGAGCCGTGTTCTCTGCTAGTTCCAGGATCTCAGTGGTCAGGCACTTGAGCACAGCTGGCAGGTAGATGAGAATGCATCCACAGAACATCCTTTTCAACTCACTTCACTCACTTCAATGCTGTATGAAGGGTAAATGAGGACACAGACTTAAGTGCTTTGAGTATCTTGATAAGATAAAGGTGCTATTTAAGTAGTCCATTTACCATTCTATGGTTCCCAAACATTTATTTTAATCCATGAATGAATGCAGTTTTTATCTTTTCAAGTTTTGGCTAAATTGTTAATGACAATCAATCAGTTAAATTTGACTTCTGTATAGTTTCACACAACTCTTTGGGAAAACATGCTCTATTTTCTGAAAGTTCAAATGCAAACCCTGAATTAGGTTGTGTGAAATATTGTGCCACACAGTTTTATACTCAAATGTAGGTTTTATTTGAGCCAATAAACATAACGGGGAAAACTGTTCAATCTAAAACAGTGTGCCAGAGGTGGAAGGAGAGGCTTTTTATTTTAAGGTGCGTGCAAACAAGATAAAATAATAAATTTTTACAAATGAAATGTGTGCATTAACAAAATGTTTTGTATAAGAGGGAAGGATGGAATTAAATAATCTTTCACAAAAATACATCCAAGCATTCAAGCGTTATTTGAATTTACTCAGTACATCTCAATATGAAATACATGTAGTATTTATGGTAAAAGATGTGCACTGGAATAAAACCATGTTATTTAACCTGTTTTACATCGTTGTTGTAAAAAAATATTAGACAAAACACCACATAAATCCAAATGTTTATTACAAAGAACACTATTAAACAAGTGTCATCGTAAATCATGTAGTCGCTCCAAATCTTCACAATCCTAGTGATCATTTGAGAATTTAAGTTTAAATTCTCAGACTTTAAAAGGAACTTTACATGTTACATTTTGTTTGCAGATGATTTGACCATATGACCACGACAACTTTACCTGTGAGACATTTGGACCCATATAGACCTGTGAGTACAAGCAGAAATACACTTGTATTTTTTAAAGTTTAAACTGGAACAAATCTAATCAGTCCCTCCAAAAAGGAAATACTGGTAATTACACTATTAGAATATTGTTCAAAGACCTGCTCTTTTGTGGGGGTGAGGTCATATTGTTTAATCTACCTTGAGCACAAACTATGGCCTAGAATACCAAGACAGCAGACATGCAGACTGTACTTAAAAAAGGCACACAGTATACTGTACATGAATAAACACAGTACAAATGGTTCAAGACGTATGAACAAAACTATAAAAGTACTAATAATAACGAAATCTAAAATGTCAGTGGCAATAAATGAAATATAGGCTGTAGAACCTCATTTATGAACACCTCTAAAAGTATTCACACAACTGAAATGTATTTCAAGACATTGGAACCAGTTTAATCACCCTTTGTTTCACACACGCTGAGCAATCGTTTTAAAATGAAATATTCAAACTCAGTCATGTTCCACTTTTTCTCTTAATGCCCACCCACTCAACTGGTACAGTTTCACAACAAAGAGTCATAAATGAGGCTCTACAGAATATCATTTATAAAAACATAACTAAGGTTTGTTACTAGAGTAGAAATATCACATATCCCCTTGTGTATGTTGCAAGTAATGCATCCGTAGATCCAGCTCACGAGGGAACGAGCACCCACATATCATGCACTGGAGAATACGTTCTGGGACGAAAGACAAGCGGGAACCAAGTTTGTGAGGTTCAGTGTGCGGGGCAAGCTGAGGTAGGGTCAGGGTCTGTGGCAAGTGGGGCCTTTCACTCATGACTGTCTGCGGCGTGAAAAACATATTTGGGTGTGGGTGTCTTGGAAGTCCACTAATTGCAACAGAATGGAGAGGGTGAGGGTTAGGCAAAGCAAGAGAAGGTGGGAGCGGAGGGAGTGGAGGTGAGAAGAAAGGGGAAGGCTGGTTTATAATTATCTGAGTGCCCGTTACCATTGGTTGCTGCTGCAGCTCCTGCCCACTGCCTGCTTTGAGCTGTGCTGACAGCAGTGTCTGAGGATTCACAGGATTATTTTGGAAGCCCCATACTGGAGATCCCATCCCCTGGCCAAAGCGATGAGGCTCATATTGGATGGAGATGGGACCCTTCTGTGTGGCTGGCTGCACGTTGGCCCAGCCAGGAGACACCTGCTTTTGCTGCAGCTGATAATCTTGGTTATTTACTAACTTCTCTGTGGAGTTTATGGTCTTTGGAATCCCTGGAGATGTTTGGATGTTCCACAAGGTACTGGTGACCCCGTGGGAAACTGGAGTTGAAATTTGCATTGCACTGCTTTGGTCTATCTGAGCTGAGGTGGATGCTAAGCCTGAAGCCCACGGCTTTTGCGGTTCACAGCCGTTCCATGGCTTCTCTGGCTGAGTAACAGTCGAAGAAATACCTTGAGAACTACTCAGGTCCCACATCCTCTCCTCTTTCTTGGGAGGGGCGGACAGTTCCATTTGAGATGACGCTGGGGCAGTTTGCCATCTCGGCAGCTGCAGTTCTTGTACAAGTTTGTTTGGAGAACTCTGAGTAAGTGGAGCTGGTCGGATGCTCCACAGTGCTGCCCCGTCCATGTAGGAGGCAGGGACAGTGAAATTGTGCTGCACAGAGCTGGTGGAAGCAAGCGCTGGAGATGTGGGTGTGCTACTCCACGTAAGAGGGTTTTGCAGCCTGGCCTGCACCATCTCGTTCCCAGCCGACTGGCTTAATTGTTTTGGCATGTGACAGTTGACAACAGAAGATATGCTCTCTTTAATGTGCACGTCTGAGCTGTGAGCTGTCACTGGGCCCGACTGTTGTAACATGGGAATATCTGGCCAGCCTGAACTTCTCTGGTGGTTCTGCTGAAGCTGCATGGAGCTGTTAAAATGACTATGTGGGGTCTGTGAAGCTCCATGTTGCTGCTGTGTAGATGGGACAGGCATCACCTCTCCCCCATCCACCTTCCACTGCTCTGGTTGAACGTGTGGCTCAGACGACCACGGCTCACTCTGCCTGTTTTGTAAATCCATGTGAGACTGGAGCATGGAGGACTGTGGTGCTTTTCCATGCAATTCTACATCTCTCACTGGAGAGTGTGCATACAGAGGCTGCTGAGTATCCAAAGTTGAGCCTCCTAAAGGTTTGGACCAGTTCCACAAAAACCTCCCCCCTCTCCTTCCTCTGCCCCTCATCCTAGCACTCGCAGGGAATGAATTGCACTGGCTGTAAGTCTGCTTCTTGCGAGTGTGGATCTTCTGGTGAACTAGCAGGCTGCTGAACCAGGAAAAGGTTTTGTTACACTCGTTACAGCGATGAGGCCTCTCTCCAGTGTGTGTATTCATGTGATCCCGAAGCAGATAGGCTAATCCGAAGCTCTTGTCGCACTGGTCACACTTATGTGGTTTGTCTCCGTTATGTGACAACATATGTTGCTGCAGCTGGACTTCGTCGCTGTAGCCTTTGCGGCAGCTGGTGCAGCGAAACGGCTTTTCCTGGTGTAGCTTTTGATGTGTTCTCATGTTTTGCAGGAAAGCAAAGTCCTTCCCACAATCTGGACATTTATATGGCTTTGTGCCTGTGTGGATGACGAGATGTTGCTGCAAGTAGCTACCGAATCTAAAACCCTTGCCACACACTCTGCATACATATGGCTTGTCCTTGGAATGTATGCGCATGTGCAACTCTAATACTGAGCGGTGGCGGAAAGCTTTGTCACACTCTGAACACTTGTGCAATTTATCAGTTTCGCTCTTCCACGTCTCCTGCACATTATCGCTGCTTGGAGTAAACTGCTTTATTGGTTGTGTCGTGATCCTTTCTAAATATTGTCTAGGTGACTTGTGGAAATTTAGCAGATGCATATTTAAACTAGATTCATTCCGAAAGACACTTGGACAGTTGGGGCAGGTGTATCCTTTCTCCCAGTGCTTGCTTGTTTCTTTCGGAGACTGTGCCGTCCTCTCTAGCTTATCATACTCTGCCTCATGAATAAGCATGTGCGCTCTCAGGTTTGCTGCTAAACAGAAAGTTTGGGGACACAGGGGGCAGTTAAACGTGCGTTTTGGTTCCTCGATCTTGTGAGAGTTCTCATTCCCTGGTTCTTTTAAGGTTTCTTGTACGGACACAGAGTTCTGTTTGTTGGACGGCTCGCTGAATGAGTTGGTTTCACGCAACCTATGTTGACGGCAGTGCGCCTTCATATTCTGGGCAAAAGCAAACTTTTTGCCACATTCAGGGCAACGGAAGGGTTTCTGACCAGTGTGCAGATACTGATGTTGATGGAGGAGGCTGCTATATTTAAAACTCTTACCACAGATGTTGCAACGGTGAGAACGGCTTGTGTCTATGTGTTTGCGGCGATGGTCTTCCATGACAGAGTAGTGTTTGAAAGCCATGCCACACTCCGGGCATTCGTAGGATTTAAGGGCAGAGTGGGATTTCAGATGGACACGCAGGGCCGTGACATTTGGGAAAGTTTGATTGCACTCTTGACATTTAAACACGCACTCCTGGGAATGGGTCATCATGTGCCTTGTGACAGACACTTTAAATTGGAAATCTTGGCGGCACAAAGGACAGTGGTAAGGCCTTTCTTCTGCATTGACACAACTGTGGTTCCTCAGCTTCTTGACTGTAGTGAAAATCATCTGGCATTCTGCGCATTGGTATCTGCTTACATCCTCCATAGTTTGCACCTCCATCTTTGGGGTCACAAGTGCCTCCTCTGTTTCTTTGTGTTCATTTCTGTGTTTAATGAGGCTGCTTCGGTGCTGGAAGGTAAGGCCGCATTCTTTACAGATGAGGGGCGAGAATTCATCTTCATGAGCATGAAAGTGGCGGTGAAGGTTGAACATCTCACGGCGTTTGAACCTCATTCCACAATCCTTGCAGACCAAACAGAATTTTTTTTCTTTAGCTGTAGAGTCAGCCTCTTCATTGTCTTCACCAATCTCCTCTGCCAAGTCAACTTCACCCCCCTGATCCTTCACTGGTGACTTCTCTCCTTTGTTCCCTTTGTCATGAGAGCCTTCTTTGGCGGTGGCAGTGTTTTCTGCATCATCTACGACATGCTTGTCTTGTTTCACCTCTTCAGCAGTCTTAGTGGCTTTACAGAAGTCTGGAGGAGAAAAACACACAATAGTAATAATAACCTGGCAAAGAGTATGTGAAAATACAATTTGAACAAGATAAACTTTTTCTGCAAAAATGTCGTGTGAATGCTGAGTACTGGATGACTTTGCTGAAATTTGTTTAAGCTTTAACTGAGTTGTTAGTTAAACAACCAGAACAAAGGCTAAAAATAGTTAGACTGTAAAATTAGCTAATTAAATGCTACAGCTAAAATGAGTGAAACTTTAGCTAAAAGTAAAACAGAGGGTAAGCTAGAAGTAGCAAAATTGTAGCCTAATTTAACAGTAGTTAAATGTAGCTGAAAATGAAAAATAGCTAAAAGTGGCAGAATGGTAGCTAACACTACAAACAGCACAAAGACAAAAACAAACGTACCGGTATACTGAAGCAGATTTCAAAAAGAAAAAAGGTAAAGATTTGAAAATTCACACCCCCATCACTCTATTCATTATTTTTAGGGGTGCACCGATTTATCGGCCCCGATTTCCTTAATATTGGGAAATCGGCCGATACTTGCACGAGAAACCGATTTTTACAGATTTTTTTTTTGTTTTAACAACAATTGTCTGAACTTCATTTATATTTCAGAGCCCTACTTCATGTCCAGTTAAAACAAGTTTGTATTGTTTCTAGGATATTGTTCAAGGGTATGTTTTTCAACAAAATAAAATTGGAAAGTTGAAGGTGCATTGTGACCTTATAACACCTGACAGTGTCGCTTATAAAACTAAATCGGTATCTGCCTAAATCTGAATCGGCAGGTCAGACTTTTTAGAAATCGGTGATCGGGCAGAAAACTGCAATCGGTGCACCCCTAATTATCTTTACTCAATTCTTCTTTTTTTGGTCACGGGGGTCACTGTGCAAGAGCGGGGGACACCCTGGACAGGTCTTCAGTCCATCACAGGGACACAGAGACAAAAGAGACAAGCAACTAGGGCTAGGCCATATTATATCATTCACGTCAATACCGGTAAAAAAAACTTGCCTGGAATGATATCATGATATGCTAATTTCATGACGTAATACGACAGGGCACCCCGCCTCGTTAACAGAATCGAGAGTGCCGAATGACCAAAGCGAACTGCGCACCTCTCCTCCACCTGTAGGTACTAGAGTAACGCTAATTAGTTGGGCGCAATACTAGCTAGCTAAAAAGCTAAAAACAAACAACATGCGACGCAGCTGTCTCTCCACCCAGCTCTAAACTGCAGGTACAGACAGCTCAACTGTCTCTCCCTCCCCACCACCCTGCTCTGAGCTGCCGGTGCGGGAGCAGCTCGGCTGCGTCTCCCCGCTCTAAACTGTCAGTACAAACACACGCAGCTCAACTGTCTCTCGAGTTCCACAGTACATGGACCAAGAACAGAGTCAGGTGATCAGAGACAGAGCATCAGAGAAATGAATCATTCCTGCAGGAACAAAGGAAGCTGAAACACCACAAGCTTCAGGGTCTGCTGAAGACACTTTGTTAACTTGTGGAAGATATAGCTCATTTAAAGGCAACACATTTTGTTGTGTTACATTTATGCTCAACGGATCTTAAGGTTTAATTTTATTTAGTTATTTTGGGAAATTTCACCTGCACTTTAGTTTTTGCTGTAGATTTTGTTGATTTGTATTTTGTGCAGACTTTTTCAATCTAAATAACAGAAGGATCATTATTTTTTATTTTTATACTTGGAGACGAAATACTTTACTAAATAAAGTAATTTCAGTAAAATTAGCCCTTGTTTTTTAAATTTTTATATAATACTGCAAAGCAACATGTTAAGTTAATTTTGTCAAATGAATAACTACAGTGTGATTTCTGTGTGTGTGTTTTTTTTTTTGTTATATTACGTAATTTATCGTTATCGTCAGAATGCACTGAAATATCACGATATAATATTTGATCCATATCTCCCACCCCTACAAACAACCATTCACTCTCTCACTCACACCTAGGGACAATTTAGAGTTACCAATCAGTCTAACATGCATGTTTTAGGTCTGTGGGAGGAAACTGGAGTACCTGGAGAAAACCTACACATGCACAGAGAGAACATGCAAACTCCACCCAGAAAGGTTCCTGGTCAGGATTCGATCCAGCAACCTTCTCAGAGAGGCAGCAGCTCTACCATCTGATCCACCGTACCACCCTGATTTTAAAATATCCAAGTTTATTTCAATGGAAAAGTTTTTTTAACAGAGATAAATATTTTTAAATGATTGAAATTTAGAAAAAAAACAAAATTCATAACACTATTCCTAATCGAGCTGAAGGTTTACACATAGTATATGAGTGGCTGTGGCTGAGTGGTTAGAGCAGTTTTCCTCCAATGCAAGAGTTGGGGGTTCGATTCCACCAGCAGTCACATGCCGAAGTGTCCCTGGGCAAGATACTGAACCCCTCATTGCCTCCAATGTGTGTCCCATCGGTGTATGAATAATGATAAAAGCACTGATTACTGGTATTCTTTGTATAAATATAGTAGAGCTGTATGAATGGGTAAATGAGGGCACAGATTGTAATGTAAAGCACTTTGAGTATCTTGATAAGATAGAAAGGAGCTATATATGTAGTCCATTTACCATTTTACCATTTAAAATAGCACAAAGTATGTAGAAGTAGTTTGAAATAAATAAATAAATAAATAATAAATAAATAAATAAATAACACAGTAGAAAACAAATAAAATAAACAAAAACAAATTTAAAAAGCAAAAATGCTGAGTGAGCGTTTATACTACTAAAGATAATAAGATTATGGCTTATAAATCATTCACACTACTGAGATCTATTTTTCTTTCTAATTTTTCGGCATTCTGCAAAATTATGTTTACTTCAAACATCCAGCTCATTCAAGACATTCCTGCTACGACTTTGTATTTGTGTATTTTTTTCTTTTTAAAATATTTAGTTTATTTCATTTTATGTTTTACATTTTTCTTACTGAAAATTAATGGAGCTCTTTTCAGGTCCTTCAAACCCTTTGCGCTGTTTAAAACCGGTTTATTTCCAGGAAACAGGAGCAGAGTAGGAGAAGGCCCTTTTGCCTAGTTCAGTCCGCACTGAGGGAACACTGCAGGTAATAATGTCCTGAGAGCGCACGCTGTAGCTGTGCTCATGCAGTGACGTGTAGTAGGAGATGTATGAAGGCAACAGACCAAGAAGTGATTTAAAGATAACAACAACAACATTATTGTTATTATTAATAATAATGTCATCACAGTATGTTTCCATTCCAAAATTAGTCTTTGCATTTAACCCATCCACCACGAGGTGGTGCAGTGAGCAGCTATTGAAAGCGTGGGGGGGGGGGGGGGGGTTTTGGGGATGAGGTGTGCTGCCCAGAGACACCACGAGGTATGCAGCGACTGTGGATAAAACCTGGGACTTTTGGGTCCCGAGCCGGCTGCCCTGCCTCTACACCATCTCGGCCCCCATGAAAATGTACCTGTGAGAGAGTCTTTGTGAAGTTAATGATGATCATATGACCAGTGAATACAGGATGCAGTGGTGAGTATGGTAGTTAAAACCAGTTATGAATCTTAATGCACCACAATAGGCAGCATCCAGCATCTGCAGAGTGCTTGTAGGAGCGTTCATGTAAATAATGCCACCCTAGTCAATGGAGGGAAGGAAAGTCACAGATACAAGGCGTTTCCTAGCATTCAGGGTTAGTTCAGTGTTAATTTAATCTCCCTTACAACGTCACCCCTGGGAACCAGAACCTCCAGTCATTTACAGTCTGGAACATTTCTATGCCCAAACAAACTGGAAATGCACCGATTGTCTTTTGCAAGTTGATTCTAATTTCTGATTTTAGACAGCTCTTATCAGTCGCAGCAAAGTTCAACTGATTTACATTTCTCTCCAGGAACAGTAATTGATAGGACGGATTTGCTTTTTAATTTATGGTTGGGCTAAACAAATTGTTGCTCGTTTACAGAAAATAAAGTTTAAAGTAAATGCTTTTGTTTTTTCCCCCCAACAATAGTATGTTACTGAGTTTTCTCGTGCCTTCATTAGAAATCTGCAGATAATATCCTCTGGATTATCAGACAGGTCTCTTTCTGCTGCTCCTGTCTGCAGGGGTTGCAACAGAGAGTGAATTCATATGAAAAATTTGGCTTCTATTTTTACATTGGATGCCCTTCCTGACACAACCTGGGCTCAAACCCACAACCTCAAGATTACAAGGATGCGGCACTGACCACCTTTTGTACAAATAAAACCCAACTCAAAGAAAACTAGATCATTTGTATTTCCTACAAAAATGCAATGTGAATGCTTAAAGCTGACTGAATTTTCTGAAAGCTGTTAAAGAAGTTGAAACCAGGCTGAAAAGTTTCATCACTGAACTGTTAATGAGAGCTGAATTAGAACAGCTGATATTTGCTAAAAGCAGGACAATAAAAGCAGAAAGAGGAAGGAAAACGGCAGAAACGTGAAGAAAAAAACTGAATAGAGCAGAAATGTAGCAGAATAAGCTGAAATGGGCAGATGACGCTGAATAAATTACAAAAAAATCTGAAATAACAAAAAAGTTAATGAGCAGAAAAATGCTGATTAGTACAAAACAAAACAAAAAGCAGTTGGCAAAGCAAAAATAAAATGCTGAAATTAGCAGAGCGACTGAAAGAATTAGAAAGAACCACAAAAAACAGACATTAGCCAAAATAGCAGAAAAAAACACTAAAATGTAGCTGAAAAGCAGAAAAAAGAACAAAAGTTGTAATGAGTAGAAAAAGGTTTTAAACAACATGAAGAGCTAGCTCCATTGTTTTTCAGCAAGAAAAACATGGTTAAAAAAGCTTAATATTTCAAAAAGGAAAAATTACACAAACACCAAAAGTCATTGCATGAATGTCTTGAATGAGCTGAATTTGTTTTGTTTTATACGAATTGATGAAAAGGCATAAAATCTGCAGAAAAACTTGCATGACGAAAAACGTACAGGAAGAAAACTGAATTAGTTTACGCTGGTCCTGTTACAGTTGA